AAGAGTAGGCAGTGGATGACGGTGTAAGAGAGAAGCACGAACAGCCTCATACTCAGGACGTAGAGCCATCAAAATCTGGATAAGATCAAGGTGATCCGGACTAATCTCAGCCTGTCGGAGACGATACCGGATAGGCTGAACTTGTGCAAGAAACTCATTAACAGATTGACCCGGTTGCTGCTTGGTGGAATGCAAGGTGCTCCAAAGCTGATAATAGTGAGCCAAGCCTGTAGTCTGAAATCGAGCAGCCAAAAAATTCCAAGCCTCCTTTGCACTGTCAAACGGAGCAAGCTGCACCTGAATAGTAGGGACCGAAGTATTACGTAACCAAGTAAGAATCTGATGGTTCTTACTATCCCAATCCTCCAACTTATCGACGTAAGCTGTAAGAACCTGTGGTGTGGGGTTGGCATCCCCAGAAACAGACGGATGTACAGGTGGCAACACATCACCAGTCACAATCCGCCACAATTTTCTCCCAATTAAAAAACTCTTCATAGACTGTGCCCAAAGACTATAATTGTCTCCTGATAAGACAACACTAATAGGAGAATGCAAATCCATACGATCCATATCCAAAAGGCAGATCAACACAATAACACGAAACTGATGAAAATATAGGCAGAAATCGGATCACGAAACCGTCAAAATAGCACAAAAATAGAGGAAATAAAAAGTTCACGAAAACCAAAACCGACCACACCAGGACGTAGCCGACGACGAGACGAGTCAACGCCTGAAAAACGGGAGAAATCGGACGCCGGAGTGGACCTCACGCGCCGGCGAGAGCTGCCGGCGCCGTCGCAAACAATCGGCGCGTGTGGGGCCCACGCGCCGCCGATCGGCCTGAAATTTTCGTCGATTGGTCGCCGGTGGACGCCGGAGAAGATGGTCGGGGCGGTGAGAGTCAACGACGGCCGGAGATGAACAGGAAAACGAAAACCCACAAGTGAATATATATAACCCTAGTCTGATACCATGTGAGAATGTGGGAAAAATATATTCTATTATTTACAAAGAGGGTACACATATATATAGATACACATATGAGCCTTTGCCTAAACCTAACTTATAGTACAATATCAATATTTACATATGTAACATAATTCAAATTGTCTAAACCAACGAGGAGCTTCAAGTCTTCAAGGAGGATTCACAATAAAAGTTCCTTTTTCCACAAATCATGCATCTTTATTCTCACACATTTTCCCTTTTTTTTTTAAAGTTATCCTAGTAGGGGTGCTTATTGTGGCACGATGGAAGACTTTGATTTCGTTAGGCTTAAATTTCTAATGAAATGATTATAAAACTAGTTTGAACAAAATAGGAATGTACATTGGATGTATATTGGTTGTGTGATGAAGAATATGATAATGAATTAATCAAAATTGTCATATGGATTTACATAGCACTGTTCTAAAAGTCGCTAAGCGTCTGTCGGAGCCTAGAAATTAATATTAAATACTTTATTTTTTTTATTTATTTTAACTTCCTACAAAATAAAACTATCTCAACTTATGATAAATCTACACACCTAAGTCTAAATAATAATATTAATATGTTTTAAAGAAAAATATGAGAACAAAATAATGTAATTAGTATTTAAAAAAATATAAAAAAATTAAAAAATTGTCGCCGAGCCCGCCTAGGCGCCGCCTAACCGCCTGGGCGCCGAGCCGCCAAGTCCGCCTAGGAACGCTTAGGGCCGCCTAGGCCCGTTTGACCGATTTTTTCTGCCGATTTGTGCAAATCGGAGGCGCCCGGGCACCGCCTAGCGCCTAGGCCGATTTTTAGAACAGAGCTAAATAGAATGATTATGAAATTAATTTGAACAAAATAGGATTGTACTTTGATGTATATTGTTTGAGCGATGAAGAATATGATGATGAATTAATCAAATTTCTCATACCGGTTTGCCAACTGATTTATCGGCTTATGTGATGGGATGACTGTGGATACCCAATTTGATCACTATTAATAGAAGAGTGACACGTGGCAAAACAAACGGGGGCAATAAAGGGCTCAAAATACTCAAAATATAAATTTATAGACTGCAGATTTTTCTAAATCTAAAAAATATACGAACATAACATATTCCAGACCGAACAGGCCTCAAAGGACGAATAGAACATATTCCAGACCGAACATGCCTCAAAGGATGAACAGAGCCCAAAGGACGAACAGGTTCACAAAGGTACGAACATAACATATTTCTGACCGAACATGACTCAAAGAACGAACAGAGCCCAATGGACGAACAGGTCCACAAAGTACGAACATGAAATATTCCGAACCGAACAGACCTCAAATGATGAACATGCCCATGAACAGTAACTTGTGCTACACATGATGAATAGTACTAAAAGTACAAAATATATTACATTATAAATAAAGCCTCAATAATGGAGAAAAATAGAGAGAACATTTTTATTCATTCTCTGATAAAGTGAACATTTTAATTCTCTGAGAGGCATTAATCAATGATCTATTTATTCTTGATTTTGTATAGTTAAAAATCATATAATTTTTTCTTGTGAATTAAGTACCTAGAGCAGTTTACCGTTCATTTTTTGTTGTTGACATTTTTTAGCATCAACAATGACAATATCAACATTGTTATATAATATTATAATGAAAAAGATAATGAATATTTGTTATTTTATTTCTTATAATTCAATCCAGTGTTTTAAATACTATACCAGTGGTCATACCGGTCTAGCCACCGGTACGCGGTATTACCGGTCGGACCGGTAATATCGGTGATATTACTGGATTAGTAAATATAATTATATATATAAATATACATAAAAATATATAATACCAAATGTAAAAAAGTAAAAAATAAATGACCATAATCATTAATTTCAACTTCTCAATGAGATAAAAATAAAACATTTAAACTACCAATTTAAATTTTATTTTTTAAATTAATTTATTTTTTATTTTTTATTTTTTTGGCCGGTATTTTGGACCGGTATTTTGCGGTTTTTACGGTATGATCCCGGTACAAACTGGTATAACCGTAAATTCGGTATTTTGAGTGTAATTGTACCGTACCAATGGCCGGTATCCGGTATTACCGGCTGGTACGGTACGGTATTTAAAACATGAATTCAATCCATAACGTGTCTCTGACTAAACATTCAATAACAATGAAAAGTATTATAGAATAGAAAATTATATCATTGTTATTATGTTTAGTATATTAAAAGGCACAATGAATTATTATGGTTTCTGATAATCGATGAATTTCTAAATGTTTGGCATTCAAAATCACTTGTAGGGGATAGATTCAATTATAATTACAATTCAAATCGTGTGTTTCTCTTTAGAAAATCATTCTATTGAGAGATGCTACGATCCCGTTATGGAACTATTTAGTTGGAGTTTGTAATCGTTAGATCAATTATCTCCGACGATTATATGATGATCTAACGGTTACAAACTCGACGGAATAGTTCCTTTATGGGACTGGAGCATTTCCTCATTCTATTATATATGGTCAATGAACCAATAAAAAACAGTCTTGATTACGTTCACTTTGTTTTTTACCTTGAAATTGAAAGCATTTACATATACATGTACTTAAGTTATTTTATTATTGTCAGGAATCAAATTTCTTTCACTGACGAAAAGAACGCACCAAGTATCATTATTACAAATTTTTTAAGCGAATGAAAAGGTTTTTTTTAAGAAAGTGCTTGTCCATATCTGTCTTTTTCATTTGACTAGTCAATTAAATATTTTAAAATTCAGATGCATTAACTGGCATTTACACCATTAGTCATATATTATATAGCAATTTTCGTTAACTTGTCATGTAGACTTTTATTAGTCCACTCCATAATATCATGTGAAAGAAATTTTATTCTTAAGCCACACTTAATACCTACTAATGGTGATCACGAACGTCTAAACCCAGTTATGACCCCCAAAGACCTTACAAAACGTATAAACACGACCTAACTGCGTTAGCCCAATTGATTTCAATTTCACAAGTTAATAAATGAGAAAATAAGACAAAAATTCTGCATATAATCGTAAATGTATTTGAATATAAGTCAGTTATATGCAAGTTTTGTAAGCTTGTTAAAATTCTATACTTTGTATTGATTCATCTAGAATTTCGCTTGTTAAATTCACTTAAAAATTGTTATAATCAATACAAATTATCTACACAATTTTTAATTTATGGATTCCTTAACAAAGTTAACATGAGATTTAATAACACCCGACTCTTGTTATTTTCTAAATTACTTCAAATGTAAGTCGATATTATGTAACATATACCCTGTATTTCTAGTCATGGTACCTTGATTATGATACTTAAAAATTCGATTTATACACTAGCCCATGTAATTAAATTTTATGAATTCCGTATTATGCCATAAAATTAATAGGAACATTAATTTAAAATATTTTAATTGAAGATTTTTAATAATAGAATGTTACGCAATAGGGGTGGGCAATTCGAGTCAAACAGTGCAACTGAGTGCAATTTGATTAAATTGTTTTAATTTAGAGAATTTTCAATTCAGTTTCGGTTCTATTATCAGTTTTCTGCCAGTTTTGTTTTCAGTTAGTGCAATTTTATATGAACTAAAACTCATATGCATAAAAAATAAAACCCAACCGAATTGTACATTTAGGTATCGTTCGATTAAATTCAATGTAGTTCGATTAAGTTAGGTTTAGTACATAAAGGTTTCGTTTACTAGCAAAGATAGGATTAGATTATTCAATCCATCTAAATTTGCCACGTCAGATACTATCCCTGATTACTAAACAAGATAGGGTTTTAGGCCAATCCTATCCTCTGTTTACCTGACATGATTAAAATGTATTGTGGTTTAAACCTGAAAAGGTAGGTTACTATTTTACCCTTCTCAATTAACATATGTATTTCACATTTTTGTCTTCCTCTTTCATTTTCCAAGAACATCGACCCAAATCGACGAACCCTAGTTTTGAATTTGAATCCTACATTTTCTCTACATTTTTTACAGTATAGAAGCCACGGTGGTGAGCTTTGTCGTCCCTGCAGTAAAGGCGTTTGAGGTGGCAGTGCAGTCGGTCGCAGACGAAGTGGCACAGGTTTCACCTATCGAAGATTTGAAAAAATGAGGACGAAGAGCACGACTATTTGACGAGGTATAACTCGGTTGTCCATGCGAATGTGTTATATGATTCCAAGAGCAAATTTTTTCCCCTTTCGTCCCTTTTATAATTGCATTTGAATTGAGAATCTACGAATCTATTTCATTCGTTCTTAGGATTTCGTGGTTGAGACAGTGGCAAAAAGAAGACGAAACTTTTTATCGAACCCTCTGTTTGAGAATACATCCCAAGAGCCGCGAGCCCCCAATCCAATTTCGTCGACACCGGCACCCAAGTCTTTAATCGAGCTTTCTCTTCCATTTTCTTTTACAAGGTAAATGTGCGCTCAGGTATAATAATGTTTTATTATCTGTTTCAAAATGATCTGAAGGCATGCTTATTAGATGGAAGTTTAAAGGGAAAATGCGGTACTTGGTTGTTCAGTTTTTAGTCATGTTTATTCTGTGTTTGCAAATGAGGTACAAGCATAGTAAAGTGTAAGGAAGTTGAAGGCATGGCCGATGATGATGTGTAGTCTCTGTTTCTATGCTTTGTACATGAATTTATCATACTCCCGACCTTTGATCTTATGAGGTCTATGCTTATTTTTTATGTTCTGTTGATTGGCTTTAAAGTTGGGAAAACTAATATATGTCCTGTTCATTGCGTTTTTGCGATTGTTTTTGTGTATCCTGTTTGTGCATCTATGAAAAGAGATATATGGCCTGTTTGTGGGAGGAGAATTTGTTTGATATGTTTGAATCCACTATTTTGCAGGTTTTTATATTTCGGTTTATAAGGTCTATTACTTGACTACAATTTTTGTTTTTCCAATTGATGCATAGTTTATGTTTTTGTTGCATTTTTGTTGTTTACAAGCCCTGTGTTAAAATGTTTTTCAAGGAAACAAAAACATGAGTTATTCAAGTTTAAGTTCATCAAGAAGAGTAGCCGGTGTCTATTGTACTTGCCGTGAAGTTGCTCGTCTGCAAACTTCGTGGACTACCACGAACCCAGGAAGGAGGTACTTTGATTGTACACAAAATGGTTGTCGCTTTTGGAATTGGTTTGATCCTCCGATGTGTGCAAGATCAAAAGAAATAATCCCCGGTCTCTTGAGAAAAATAAACCGGTTACAAGCTGCAACAAATCGCCACAATGTCGAGTCTGCAACTGAACTTGAGGACAAAGAGAAGGAGATGTACATGAAAAAAATAAAGAAACTGGACAAAGAAATTGCACAACTGAAGAAGAAGACCAAAGTTCTTGTGCTTTTACTTGTAATCTTAATCGTATGGATGCTTATCATGAAATAAGCATAATAATATGTATCTACTTTCTATGGTCTGTGTTAGGTTTTTGTTTAGTTTTGTTGTACTCTTCTATGTACTCATCTACTTTCTACGTCTTATAATCTGGAACAACATTATGTAGTCCAATCGTGGTTTGAATTAAATTTCTTTTGTTTTGTTATATCTGTGTCCCTTTTTAAAGGACCTTAGATATGTCAATTGATGATAAAGCGTTTTGAATCAATAAAGAGTGTTGAACCTAGCAAGTACGTACTATTCTGTGTGCAGGTTATGTGAATAGAAGGTGTAATCCAATACACACAGCTGAGAAACACATGCATCATACGTCTTTCATTAGCCATGTGCATATCTAACCTGCCCCGATAAAAAAGCTTGTCGCTTCTGGAATTGGTTTCACCGTCTTTTGCTGTTACATCTTGTAAAAGTAAAAGTAACTTTTGCTGTTGAACCCATGCGTACAAGTTAATGCATGTGAGCATACAGTAGCTGTTTGCATGACCATTCCCCAACCAACAACAAAGCTACTGGTCAACGTTTACGCACAACTGTCATTGTGTAAAGGGTTAATTCACCATTCAACAAAACTATATTGTCAAAATATTTATAACTGTTAGCACGCGCTATGACAACATGTTGCATGTCTACATGTGGAGTCAAGCTTTTTCTACAAAGCTGAGTAGGTTGGACTAAGCTTCACGAGCTTGTTTAGCATCAGCACATGGTTGCAGGTCTACTTTTACGCTTAAGCTTATTCTGCAAAGCTGAGTAGATAGGACTAAGGCTTCACGAGCATGTCTACCATGTGTACATGTCAGACAATGCATCACATATCCGCAATCATGATATTTTCCTATATAAACAACCCATTGCACAACAAACGTATTCAGAAAAAAGAGAGGGAAGTTGTGAAAGATTAGTTTTTGTAAAAATAAATTACTTAGCTTATTTTCATAATTTGCGATGGCTCCCGATTTTGGTGTAGTGCAGGCTGACTACCTGTACGACCTATATTGGACACCAAAACTTGATGATTTCTTAATCGAATGTTTGCTTGATGAGAAGTTGTGTGGTCACTTTGTTCCTGGTGCAGCTAATACTGACTCCATCGTTGATACTACGAAAGCAATAAATTCGTATCATCGTAAGAGCTTTTCGACGGAGTACATAAGAAGCCACGTTGATAATTTAGCCAAACGACATGATGTTTTCACATCCCTTAAAATGAAGGATGGTGTGCAATACGACGCCGGCCAAAACAAGTACCATTGTTCGGACAAGACTTGGTACCAACTGGTAGATGTGAGTTTTGTCAATGATTTGCCATTTGCTTTATTACACACACCTTAGAGCTACAAACTAATATGTATTTTATCTTTTATGTAGTGGGATGATTTTTCAGTAGCGTACATGATGGAAGGTGATCCGCAGCATGACAAGATTAGAGAGTTGTTTCGTGTGGAGCCGGCGTACGTACCTCCTTTCGAGTACCATATCTTGTGTGACAGTGATAATGAACCCAATATGAATGCAAACAATGGCCGCAATAAAAATCTTCAAATTATTGATGTTGAGGACTACACCCCAAAACATGCCCCTCCGAGTAGGTTAGTGCCGTACCCTGTTCGAACTGACATCCCACGTAAAAAACAACCACCACGTCCGGCCTTCTATTTGGGTAGCACTTCGAAGCCCCGCCAACAAGAGCAGTCCATCCATAGCCAGACTGGGTCAACTGATGGATCTGTCAACCAACCGACATACTACAACTCCACTCACAGCCGTGCGGATGAAGTGGATCCAAATTCTTCGTCCACTGCATGTTCGGCCACCCCTATGGATTTCACACCGCGTGATTGGCCGTGGTACTGACATTCTGCCACCCCTATGGACTTCACGCCGCCTGAATGGCCGTGGTACTAGCCCCTTCACCGAAAAATGTGTTTTTATGGTTGTACTCTTTAGTTTGTTTGTCATGGTTTTGATGAGCACGTAGTAGTTTCCGTCTGGGTTGTTTAGGTATTCTATGTTCACTTCTCTTATGTTATGCTTGTCTTATCTAGTGTATGCTTGTCGGTGTTACTGGTTGTCGGTGTTATTGCTTGTGGATGTTATTAAGTTGCATTCTATACGTCTCCTTCTCCTGTGTGCTATGTTCGTATTCAGCCGTGTAATGTTTGTAATTTAGCACCCATTAACAAAATATAATCGAAAAGCATTAACAACCAAAATATATACAAACGATATCCAAAATCTTCCATTTTTCCAACATCGTCAATAAAAGCTAATTAAATCCATAATTCCAACATCGTCAACAAATCCATAATAAATAAAAAACAAAGTTCGCAAATAAGCACCAATAATAGTCTGCAACATCAACCCGAGTATACAAGGTCCACTACATATTAGACTTCCCCTACATTTTGACTTTGAATTTTATGACTTCATCATGTGGGAAGAGAAAGAACGTGCAAACCTCACCAACAACAATGTCGTTGTTATCGATGAATTGTCGCGCACGACCATTCTGTAACAGTTTCTTCCCATGTCCATGTATTATGTCGACGTCATACCAAATGTCACCAAACTTCAATATTGCGGAGTTGTAATTCAAATACTTGCCTTCAATGTTATCCCTCCAGAATTGCATTGGGATTGGCTAATATATAATAGACGTTAAAGACAATGTTATAAAAATATGTTATTTTAATGAAATTAAAATATTACATCAAATAACGTACTAGACGAGCACGCTCCACATGAGTTGGCTTTATCTCGAGACTAAACGTGTAATGTGGTAGCCTCTCACAACCATTGGGCTCCATCACCAACACTTCAAAATCAAAAATGGTCCTGGGACGGAACACCAAAAAGTAGTTTGTGGTTATGTCTTCTGTAAGTATGAAATCTCTCCAGCCATCCGTTAATGTCGGGCAGTCGTTGACCATATCCAATGTCGCCTCGTATTTACGACCCTCGATAGTCTCGATACTGCACCGTTGTGGCAGCACCATACCACGGTAATGGTGGTGTGTTGCTGGCGGGAATGCCTTCAAAAAAAGGATGTTATAAGTGTTAGTTAAATACAATGTAGGAGATTCAGTACTGGTTGACATAACCACATAAGTTCATATAGCCGACATAACCACATAAGTTCATATATGTCCATATACACATATTAATCCATATAACTGACTGTTTACAACCAAATACGACAAGTTGGTGGAATATATTGAAATACTCATCATGCGTCCAACCCCCAAAAATCTACATGAAGTGGGGGACCTTTGAAATCACCAACCAAAACATGCGTAATTGAAACTTATACACACACACATACACATAATAAATAATAAGTAATTTGAAAATGTAGTACAGATATAAAGGATTGCATTCTTCAACCAAAAGCTGTTGCTGGGTGGTTTAAAAGCACAAACATTGAAAAGGTCAATGCTATCAACTCTGAAGTTTTAGAATATAGTAAGTAATCGAGCCAGATGTGATTTACTCGAAATCTTGGGCGGTTTCTACTTTTTAAAGAGGCATGCAGAACAACTATATAACATATTGCAACTGTGAGCAAATATGAAGAGTGCAATGGTGTTATGTACCAATAAAAGCAAACATCAAATGTGGCTATTTTACAAGAGCAAAAATATGAAAATGCATGTTATGTACCAATTTAAAATTTTATAATATTAGAAAAGATCCTTATTACGAGGAGCAGCTCTTTAACTCTACCTCCTTAATTATATAATCGCCAAACCAACCAAATATTACATTGGCTTACAAGAGAGCAATGGTGTTAACCATGAAGATATACCATTCAACAGATCATGCATGATAACTAAAATGCATAAGATGTAAAAGAGAGTAATTAGAAGACATATGTCCAGTACATAAATTTAAAAAAAAAAACAATAGGTATTTTTTTACTATTGAAAAGTGAATATCTTACCAAGTACAGTGCTAAATATAGAGTAGGTTGAAGAAAAAAAAAAAGTAGACTATCTTACCATGGTATGGAGCGTACGAAGCTGAACAGCCTTGAAGAAATGAGGGACCGTCACCGTCAACATCCATGTTGTCCATCCCCTGATTGTAGCCAAACAAAATAGGAAAAAAAAAGAGGTTTGCAATGATACATTATAGAATTAATGCATAAATACTGCAATGATACATAAAGAATCCAAATACGTTTTTTTTACAGTCCAACATAACAAACACATCAATAATATCTTCAAAAGCAAAATGAAAACAAGCACATCAACTAGAAAGTCTTCAAAAGGCAAATTCAACACACAAAACAAACATTAATCATTCGCAAGTCCTACCATCACACAAAGTTTTGACATTCCACATCAGACATAAAAGTGTTATACATTTCCAACGAACTACAAACGTCCATCCTGCATTATTTTCACCATGATAGCTTTATCTTCCATGGATAGGCTGAAAAACATTGACAACTCCTGTTGATTCTTACATAAGCGCATCGTGACAATCATTTTATCCTCTTTTGACAGGAAATGCATATTAGACAATGAGTCAAACACGGCATTTCTTTTCTTCTCCGCCTCATGCTCAAACACAAGCCTACAAGCAATCCCATTCAAGCTCTCTTTTGTATTTTCGAAAAGGACTGCATGATATCCAGAAAACGCTCCTCGAAGGGACTGTCTCCCTTCCTTTTGCTACCGTTCACCCTCTTACATGCCCTATTTCCGGACCCGGACTCCGTACCTGAAGTGCTACCCATGCGAAGGCCTGGGCTTCCATCAGATGGGTTCTGATGTGATGGAACATCCTCATTATCCGACTCTTGTTGGTCCTGCATGACATGCTCTGGAACATCATTGGCTGCATCTTGAAAGGATTGTGAATTTTCACATGTAGCTCTGTCTTTCCCAAATATTTCAGCCCAATCGTTGATGTAGGGGAAAGACTTGTTCCTAAGTGTTTTTGCATTTGGATCCACCTACATTAACCACATACACGTAATTGGCACAAATGTTTTGGAAATATTATCTCTTTCTTACATCCCATGATGAATGGGTATCATAACTTACCTTTACCCATTGTGTCCAAACTTTATCGTCGCAGGAAAAAGTTTTTGTCAACTCACTCCACCCGAAGCCTGAAGTTCCTTTGATGAGTGCCACACTCCTATAGTTCTTCATCCACACATGTATTTTTGAGCTGATGTGTGGTTCAGCTTGAAGAGTGCAGTCTGGTATCTTCAACTTCAATCTTTTCTCAATCTCAAAATTATATCCCTGCCTAAACCCATTATCTGCCCTCCATCCCTCGATAACCATGTCTTTCAAAATATCTATTAGGGCAGACTCCTCACGCCGGCTCCACGTACGTCGTCTTGCTGTTTGGGAGGAGGAAGATCGACCACTTTCTTGGGTACATGAGTAGTCCATGGTGGTACCTGTTCTCACGAAGGCCTCTTTTAAAGGATACGTTTGCATTCTAATATAAAGACACATCGCATTATCCAAAATAATTTATTCGTAAAATTGATAAACAAATAAACACACAAAACCAAACATGAATGGATAAAATGTCACAACAAAATGGTATAAAAAGAAAAGACAAGTCAACAACCATGGAAATGTTTGTTCACTGAAATCTCATAATCGTATATTGAAAAATAAACTTTGTTAACCTAAAACACATTATTCTGCCAATCATGAAACATATCTTGTGCCAATCGGTCACGGAACTGTGTCCATTCTGGGCTACTGTCCACCTGGTCTATCAAATCATCTTCACCCGTAGTTGTGGGCAATCCAACTTCGGGGATCTCAGGAACTAAGGCTTCAATTGGATCAATGGCCATTGATGTACGTATGAAATTGTGTAGGAGCGCGCATGCCATGATAATGCGATTTTGTGTTCGAATGGAATAATATGAGCAACTCCTAAGAATTGCTCATCGCATCTTCAAAATTCCAAAGCAACGTTCAATCGCATTTCTAGCCTTAGCATGACGAAAGTTGAACAATTCTCTAAAGTTTTGTGGCCTGCGTGATCCCGTGCCCCACTCTTGTAAGTGGTATCTCAAACCCCTATATGGCGCTAAAAAGCCGGGACCATTCGTATAACCACCATCCACCAAATAATAATTTCCTGTGTCACATTTTAATTTATCGTAAATAATGAAAAGCTTGTGTTATGTTTATTTTAAAAAGATGATTGGGTGATGTTTCGGTAATATATAGTTAGTATTACCATTGGAAACACGTAGACCATGCGTCTTAGTAACAGCATCACGCAGGACTCGATTGTCTGCCACTGACCCCTCCCATCCAGAAACCATGTAAACGAAGTTCATGGTTCTATCGCAAACCCCAAGTACATTAACAGCTATACTACCCTTACGGTTTCTATAGCGTGCCTTGTCAGTAGCAGGGACTCGCACATCAATGTAGGTTCCATCTAGTGCTCCTAGGCATCCCTAACGAGACAAAACCAAAGATACTTATTAGTTCATGAGTGTTGAACTAAGAAATTCGAACGACGTTGAGAAATGTGTTGTAGGTTACCTTGAACCATTTCCACCTTTCATCGACACAATCTGCCTCAACTGCTTGGTTGCACAACGAGGATTGAGTGAATTCGGATGACAGCGTCAAGAACTCGGTTAAAGTATTTGATTATGGTTCGACCGGATCTAACGAAATCAAGCTTTAAAGTGACATTCTTCTTATGGTGAGCTAGGATTGAAAGGAAAATAGCCACTTGTTCACTTAAAGGAACATTTCTAGATTGCCTAAGTCTGCCAGAGCTTTCAAGAAGGTGACATAGACGGCCAAAGGAGTTACGGTCCATACGTAGGTTCTCGACACAAGTTGTGTCACTCACATCGATCAACCTTCGCATATAGTTGACCTGATGTGGGAGTCTATCACTAACTCGAAATAGCGGAACATGGTTACTGCCCAAACGTCGTCGTTTTCGCCGAGGACGGATGAATTTGATATAGTAATAAGTAGCTAGTAGCAAAAAAAGTTGAACACTACACATGACCTCTTCCAATATAGCAACAACTGCTAATTCTTCTCCAACCGAATCCATCTAAAAATCAATATGACAAATATTATTTTATTTTACTATTTCTAAACGTATGAGGTGAAGCACCACACACACATAAAATAGCAGACGCATGTTATCTTCACTATTGTTATTCTATGGAAGGGACTTTATCTTGTTCTTGAACATTGTACAGCTCATGTTTGAATATTCATTGACTTCTTGTGACTTTCCATTTGAATAAGACATCGAAGTAGGTGATTTTAAATACTAGGTCAAATTGGTTGACAAAAAAATCCAATCAGACATGAATTATTGCGACTTTCCAAAACAATCAGACACATTAAAGTACATAACATTGACATCTCAAATCAGTCACAAATAATGCAAGCAAATCATATCAAAATTGACAACTCAGTCACAGATATGCAAGCAGTGGAAAGTCACAATTCACAACTCAAATCTCTTAACCCAAGCAAAGTCACAGAAATGCAAGCAGTGAACTAAATTGTAAATAAGTACTATGTTTATAGTTTCTGTTATTTAGATGCTTGAAAACACATTTATTTCATCTATACTAGCTCTAGAACTCAGAGGATCCGTCAATGAATGCATGTAACGTATTTAACCGAGGCCACATTCAGTTAGATCCCTACTTCTCTCGACAAAAGCAGATAATAAACCCTTCACATGAAAACACTGCACAAAGGTCAAACTGTTGGGTTCGATAGTACCGTACGGGCTGTACGCAGCGGAATTTAAAATTTTTAAAGTAAGTATTTATCGTATAAATACAACACCCGTACATACTAATTGCGAATTAACTGATCGTCATCTTTAAAACATGCATCATATACAAATTTTGATTTGTTACTATAAAGTAAATACTAGTAAAAATATTTACCGAATGTCTTGAACTCCTTCACTATTGATGATGGATGAGGGAATCGGTTCCCGGTTGTAACTTCAACGACTTGAGGTTACTCGCTAGAGGAATCCAAGTGTCTTCCCTCTAAACGTATCCACCCTATGAAGCCCGGTTCCGACGACTTTCCTTCGCTAGTAGAAAAGACTCGGTTTTCTTGTATAGGAATATTTATGAATTTTATTTGGGAATTTTAAGAACTCTTTCTTGAAGTTTTATGAAGAACACTTTCTTCTCTTTCTAACACTTAGAAATTTAGGATCAAAAACTTCACTTAAATGCAAAACCATTTTGCACATATTTATACTAAACATTTTAGCATAAAATAATCAACATTTAGTAATATTAAATAAAATCAAATTTTATTTAAATAGTATTTACTAACTTTTGACTTTGAAAATAATAAGATATGTTAAGTAGTTCAAACAACCATCAACAACCATTTTATTATAATCATATTTATTATTTTAATCCTTAAATCATATTTAAAGATATAAATAATAATTGGATAATAAATCTTGAGAATCTTTCTCAAGACTTTATTATTATATCATTTTCCCAATATTATAATAATCATATTATTATTATTTTGGATTTTTGAAATTTAAAATCCTATTTTAAAATTCAACTTTATTAATTTAGTAATTACCTTAATTACTAAAGTAATATCCAAAATGTAATTAATCAATCTTATTGATTAATATATTCCTTTAATTGATATCTAATCAAATTAGATATTTATCAATTAATTCTAACCATTAGAAATACAATCTTTACCTTTGTTCATAATTAGTGTGACCTTTTAGGTTCACCTTAATACTAGTAGTGGGTTTACAACACTTTGTAATTTGAGTTAAATCTTATTAACTCTTATTCATGAATTAACCCTTTAATTTATGAACCCACATATCATGGTAACACCTAGCAAGTAGCATGAATCTAGTATTAAGTGAATAGCGAGTAAACCTATTCCGATTACAACTCCATACATGTAAAATCCTTTCGACATCTAATTTCCCGATTAAGTCTTGGGTATGATTTTGTCGAAACCCAAATTGACTTAATAACTATGATTCTATTTCATGTTTATTAACCCGGTTATGAATCACTATTCATCTCTGCCTTGGCCAAGGACTTTGGATTAATAACTATGAAACACATAGGAAATTCACTTATCTTCATAAGTGTCGAATCCTTTATTGGCCACTAACAAACTTCCATACATATTAACATAATACCCAACTTATCCCTTTAAACGATAGTGCTAGCTACCAAAAGGATAAATCAAAGTAGAATGTAATATGCACAAAGTTACCATTGTGCCTCAAGTCTTAGGATTAGTCATGTACTATTGTAACATGAAAATTCTTATTCGACTGAATAAATTCTTCATTAAGAATTTTCATACGGTCATGTTCAGTGAACTTGTTCTCTAACAAGCACCCACATAAATGTACTTACGTCTTACGCTAATGTTGATGGAATGCAACATTCTTGTCCAACAAGCATACAAACTATGTGCAAGTCTTTTATGGATTATTCGATATCCCATCTCGAAACATCCATCGACTTGGAACTGTATTTAAGATCACGGCTTTCAAGGTATGTTCCATGATCACCATCTCTATGCGCAACCATACCTTATAACCATAAGTGATCTAGGGATTTTATCTTAAGTGCAATTATAAGATAAATGCTTTCTCTTAAGATAAAGAAATGCCTTATTCATAATATAATTCCAATAGACTGTATTTACAAGTAGAATACGTCCAATTAGATTGGAACGCCGGGTACCCTACTCTAACACAAACTGCCTTTAATTTGTTTGTTTCAGCCAAAAGCAATTGAAACTGGCAGTTTTTGAAGCAATCATCAACAACAATAGTCCAACCTTCTCCTAATTCTCTTTCAAATCTCAATACTATTGCCCATGAAAACTCATTAATGATTGCGCATAGGCCCACTGAGAATGAACAGACCAAGAATGAACAATATTTAATCAATCTGTATTTTCACTACCACATATGTATTGGCTTTATAAGCAGTCACTTTTCATAGGTTGAACAAAACAGAGTAGAAGGAAAAAAAACAAATAAACCTTAGCATTAGCAGGATTGACATACAGACCAAGAATGAACAATATTTAATCAATCTGTATTTTCACTACCACATATGTATTGGCTTTATAAGCAGTCACTTTTCGTAGGTTGAACAAAACAGAGTAGAAGGAAAAAAACAAATAAACCTTAGCATTAGCAGGATTGACATACACCGAAATATGCCGTAATGTAGTGAAATTATTGAACTACATAATTAGGTAGATAACAAAAAGAATTGTAACCGGTACTTATAAACCGAAAAAATGAGATTTAAAAAAATATGAAACATGAAATAGTATACAATCACTTACCCAGCCCGGAGCTGTGAAATCGTGGGGATGAGATTAAGGCACAAATCTTCGAAGAACACAAAGCAGCTGACAAATGGGGGAGAATAAAATGGTATAAGCAACGCGCACAACTCAAAATTAAACAAAAAAAAAAAATTAAGAACACATCGTTGAATTGGCGGAGGAAAATATGCCCAACCGTCGAGCAAGCTCTCAGCAATTGCCACCTGCGAGAATATCCATGTTAGTACGAAGGGTGAAGAAGTAAAGAAAATCGTAAAAAACGAAGAAGAAGAAGAAGTTGCAGGTAGGGTTACGGGCGGAGACGACGAAGTAGGGCAGACGAGATCCTATCTATGGCGACAGTTTGGACAAGTAACGAGATATATATGCCTAATCCTGTAATTTAGAGGACATAGAGGGGCAGAACAGACATTTTAAGCGTTAAAATGAGGTTAAAATGGGAAGGATGAATAAAGGATTAATTACTCAGACCATTTTGGACGGATTATTGTAACCCACCACATCAGTTTCCAAACGCGGGGCCCACACGCCACATCAGTAAAATCCGAATCCCCAACAGACTTAGTAAACGAAGGATTAGGTTGGTTAACCAACCTAATCCAATCCTATCACTGCTAGTAAACGCCCCAAAATGTTTAGTTTGGTTTTGATTATTTTATTTTTTATATAGGACAGTTCGATTTAATAAATTTTCAATTTTCGATGATTTTATACCGAACCGTTTTATTTCAACATGGCAAGCTTGTTTTGTTTGTAAAATAGAAACAGAAAGGAGAGGTGTCGGCCACATTCTTCCTCATTCATCCACATCCAATCTTTTCCGATTACGACGTCGTTAGCATCCATCAGATCGCCGTACACAGCCGTAGCCATCGATGGGGAAAGGCGGAGCGCTCTCCGACGGGGTAGTGAAGAACATCATCCTTTCCTACACCTACGTCGCCATCTGGATCTTCCTCTCATTCGCCGTCATCGTCTACAACAAGTACATTCTCGACCGCAAGCTCTATAACTGGCCTTTCCCCATCTCACTCACCATGATCCACATGGCCTTCTGCTCCTCCCTTGCCTTCGCCGCCGTCCGCGTCTTCAAGCTCGTCGAGCCCGCCGCCCTCACCCGCCGCCCTCACCCGCCGCGTCTACCTCACCTCCGTCCTCCCCATCGGCGCCCTCTACTCCATGTCCCTCTGGCTCTCCAACTCCGCCTACATCTACCTCTCCGTCTCCTTCATCCAGATGCTCAAAGCCCTCATGCCCGTTGCCGTTTATTCCATCGGGATCCTCTTCAAAAAGGACAGCTACAAAGGCAGCACTATGTCCAACATGCTCGCGATTTCTTTTGGGGTCGCCATCGCTGCTTATGGAGAGGCCAAGTACGATTCTTGGGGGGTCTTTCTGCAGCTTGGCGCTGTTGTCTTCGAGGCGACGAGGCTGGTGTTGATTCAGATCTTGTTGACCTCAAAAGGGATTAGCTTAAACCCCATCACCTCTCTTTACTATGTCGCCCCCAGCTGTTTGGCCTTTCTTTCGGTTCCATGGCTGTTGGTGGAGTATCCAGTTTTGAAGCAGCACTTTTCCGGATTTCATTTCGATTTTGTGATTTTTGGTACCAATTCATTGTGCGCCTTCGCCTTGAATTTGGCTGTGTTCTTGTTGGTTGGAAAGACTTCGGCTTTGACCATGAATGTAGCTGGTGTAGTGAAAGATTGGCTGTTGATTGCTTTCTCTTGGTCCGTGATTAAGGACACTGTGACGCCGCTGAATTTGTTTGGATATGGGTTGGCGTTTTTGGGAGTGTGGTATTATAACCACTCGAAATTGCAGGCTCTGAAGGCGAATGAGGCACAGAAAAAGGCACAAATGGCAGAGGAAGAGGAAGGGAAGCTGTTGGGCCAAGGGAATAGAGATGGGAATGAGAAGAAGGGAGACTCACAGGCCTAATTGGGGAATTTCTTGCAGAAAACACAAAATTAGAAAAAGAAATAGAGTGTCAGTTGGAATAAATTTGAAGAAGAAATTTGTGTTGCAGGTTTGCTTTGATTTTTTCCTGTGGATGTTTTGTGATTAAGCTGATTGGCTAGCTTGCATTGCTTGGTTGTTGGTGACCTTAGAGATGCACATTTTTTCTTCATGTTACTGGATTATGTATTACCAGTGAATACTAGTCTAATATTGTTTTAGGCTTTTCAATTTCTGGTCCATTCATTACATTTGCAGTTATGAAATACACTTTACAATTACAAATGTTCTGTTATTGATGACATTTTCTTCCTTTCTTTATTTTGATGGAGTAATGGTTTTAGCCTTCGAAATATCCAAGTTGATGCGTATTGGCTGGATGGTTTGTGCTCACTTATTATTATTATGTTTTTAGCTGGGACAGATCTAAGATCCACAATTTATTGCTTGCAATAATCTTTTCCATCTGTTACATATATTAGGCATTTAGGAATCTGGAAATGAAAAGTTGTGATGTACCTGTCCTCTCATGGTGGTGAACTGGTGATGTGTGCTACATTATTATTGGCATAATTTGTTCAATTGTTACAGCACTTGGGGCTAGTTCTGTCTAATAGTTGACTTTGCAGAAGGGTTATGCCCAAGTTGTGTACATTGCAGAAATCTTTGGGATGACACAATGCTTTAGCGAAAGAAAAAAGCTCAGTTCTACGAATGGATCCTTGAGTCGTGGTAGAATCATAAAAACAACCATCGGTTTAGTCTAATCACTACAAGATTCAAGTTTTCGACAAAATCCCTTGAGGCATTACCCGATTACATATGCTCCACCAAGTTCTGTCTATTAAAAGGACGAGTGAGTTCCTTTATTTTCTTCCACATATAATTAGATTGAAGCTCTGGGAGAATTTGCTCACTTTGTAGCACAGCCTATAGTATTTGCACTTGCTTTGCCTTTAAAGGGGTTTTCCATGAACCTTTTTCAAATTTACTGAGAACATGCCACTGCCAAAAGAAAAAGAAATAAGAGTTGTTGCAGAAGTTTCTCAAGGGTACAAATTCAAACAAACATAAACCCTTTTTATGGTTATTAAGCTAACTAGAGGGTACTTATCATAATTTTTCCTTAATCTCCTCCACCAAGCTCAATCACCGCACTTCCAGAAGCCTTCCTAACCCCCCTTTTCGCCATTGCACCCCTAACCTTGTCCTTCTTTCCCCAATTTGCCATTTTCGCGTAAATGCTCGAGAGCAGAACATAATTCACATCCTGCATTGGCTCCTTCTTGATAAGATCCATTGTTATTTTCTGCCCAAGACTCAACTTATCCTGCGCTCGGCAAGCCGACACCAAAGTCCGCCATATCACGGGACTCGGCACCACCGGCATTCTCTCCACAAACTCCAAGGCCTCCCTCACAAGCCCGGCCCGGCCCAATAGATCCACCATGCACCCGTAATGCTCCATTCTGGGCCCGATCCCATACTCATCCACCATCAAGCGGAAGTATCTTTTCCCCTCCTCGACTAAACCGGCATGTCTGCAAGCCGTGAGCAGACCTATGAATGTGACGTCGTCCGGGTCCACACGGGCCCGTTTCATCTCCTCAAAACGGGACACGGCCTCCAGGGCACGGCCGTGCGCTGCCATCCCAAAAATGACGCAAGTCCAGGAAACAACCGTCCTTTGACTCGTGGGCATTTTTGTAAATAGACCGAGAGCGCAATCGAGATCACCGCATTTAGCATACATGTCTATCAGAGCATTGCATAACTCTGTTCTCATCTCGAACTTCTCCTTCTTGATGAAAGACTCGATCCATCTCCCGAGCTCAAGGGCTCCCGAATCAGCACAAGCGGATAGCACCATAACCATAGTGACCACGTTGGGCTTCAGCCCAATCATCTGCATTCGCCTAAACAGCTCAATTGCTTGACTGGATTTTCCACACCTCACGCACCCACCGATCATTGTGCTCCAAGAAACTGAGTTTTTTTCAGGCATTTCATCGAATACCTTCTGTGCAGATTCAAACCCATTTTCACAACTAGAGTACATGTGAATCATGGCGTTGGTGACATGCGTGTTGGCACAAAAACCGAGTTTTAAGACCGGCCCATGGATCGTTTTGCCCAGAATAAAGTCTCGAATGCCAGCACACGCCTTGAGGACAAAAGGGTAGGTGTAGTTATTGGGTGACACCCCATAACTGAGCATTTTTCTGTAAAACTGTAAAGCAGTAGGCTTCGAATGAGTTGTCCCGGCATACGCTTCAATGACAGTGTTAAAGAGGAAGGTATCATTGTAATGAGGCTCTGACTCTGGGGAAAAAGTGAAAGAACAAGAATAGTCGATAGCGTCGATGCCAGAGGCAATGGAGGTGAATTTCGACAGGATTAAAAGGTTGTTTCGGTGGCCGAGCTTGAGAATTCTTGCTTGGATCTGAGTGAGTGTGGAGAAAGAGTTGCAGAGGTCAAGGAGAGCGAGGCAGTTCTGTTCTGCGGCTCTTTTATACATTATGCCATAACTTCAACTAGTGTGAACTGTCGAGTATACATAATACACCAAAAAAATCTCATCTTGACAGAAAGCTCGAAACTTTGTGTGCTGTATTTGAGCGGCAACAAGTATTATACTGATTCAAACTTTTCGGGTTCCATTCATTTTCTCAATTAAGTGAAAAAGAACACAAACAACATGTAAATTCATCAAATAATTCTTCGTTGGATGCTTGGAGAATGGAGACCCTACCGATAGAGTGAAATCTACCGGAGCTCACGTGTACTCACGGACGGGGGTGTTGAGAATTTCTAAGGATTTACCTTATAAAGATACAGTGCTTCTCATTCGGAAAGTATTTCAAGAATTCAGACATTTCCGGAATTGATGAACTCAGAAAAAATGACAACTTTATAACCAACCCTCCAAAGATCAAATTTTTAAACGAAAAATAAAACAACCCAAATTTCAATACACAGGAGTTTATGAGTTGACACCACGAGTCATTTAATATCATTCACATAATACATACATATTCCAGTCAGTATTCTTCTTCTTTACACTCACTCACTCATACAACAAGAAGTAAGGAAAGAGTGTGATTTATCTAGCAGTTGACCCCACACTGGCCCTCCTCGTAGCCTCCGACGTGAAGGGGTCTATGCGCACCCACAACAGGGAGAAGATAGAGGCTAGCAGGATGGACCAGACGATGACAATGGTGGGGGTGCGGTTCTGCCTCCCGAGCAGACCCTTGAGGAAGGGGTAGAGGTGGACAATCACCCATATGGCAAAGAAGAGCTTCCCGAAGAGCGGGCCCCACGACTGGTAACCGCTGTTGATTGCATACGAGACTCCAGCCACAATCCCCACCATGTTGAGGATGAGCACAGTAGTCGGGGGAATCAAGAGGGAAGTCCACTTGAAAACGTACAGCTCAGCAAAATCCCCATCATCATCCGACGCTTTGGATGTCACGGTGAAGTTGGTGTCGATGCCCGCCAAAACTTTCAGAAGGCCTTGGAAAACTGCGAAAAGGTGGGCCGAGGTACCGCCAATGACCCAGAACTGCTCGTTACGCCACCAGTCTTCCACGCTAACCCCACTCCACCGCATCTCCAGGATGCCCGTTGCAAATATGGACACAAACAGCAGGATGAACCACATGCTTGCGTAGTTGCTTATCTGTCAATCGTAATTCAAAATTAAATTTTGTCTGGAGCAAAAATATCGACCAGTTTCACAAAGCATAGCTGATTTTTTGGTTACCTCGGGAATGATGAATTTGTTGGTGAGAAGACAGATAGCAGGGAGAATGCAATAGGCGAGCAAGGGAATGGAGGTGAGTGGGTAAACAATGGTGTTGATGTAAGCGAGTCTCTCGAGGAGCTGAAGTTTGCCTTGGTAGCCGTACCATATGGGACAATGCCTGCTCAGTAGAATCTCGATGGAACCCAGGGCCCACCTAAGCACCTGGTTCAAACGATCCGAAAGATTGATAGGAGCCGACCCCTTGAATGCCGGGCGAGGAGGCATGCAGTAGATCGAGATCCACCCTCGTGCGTGCATCTTGAACCCCGTTAAAATATCTTCCGTCACAGAACCATAAATCCAACCAATCTTAAACACATAACAAGAAAAAAAAAATACTATGTGAATTCAAGAAAAGGTATAAATCGAAACATTAAAAAGATTAAACTAAGAACAACATGTACCTCTTTGCCCCACTCAGTCTTATCCTCGTATCCACAACTAATGACATGGATTGCTTCTTTCAAAAGAGATCCGGGATTTGTGGATGGTGGAATGCCTCCCATTTCCATGAAAGTGGCAGCAATGAACACAGGAGACTGTCCAAAGCGCTTTTCCAAGCTCTTTTGCGACATAAGTAGTGACTTCTCATCATCATATCCTTGAGAAAGACGAACAAGGCGATTGATGTGAGTCGCCATAATATTACATATCTTAGCCGAGGATTTAAGTAGTCTAACAGAGAGTTTTTTAGTATTTATTTATATGTTCATTTTTCATGAAAAGGAAAACGAAGTTATTGGTGAAAAGTGTACCTTCTACACCCTCTTCCATGTCCTCCATGTTAAAGATGGGAATGGTTGACTCGGTTCTTTTCGCTGCTCGCTTCTTATCAACGTACTTCTTATTCCCATGTCTCCCCTTCTTCCTCGGACCACAGCAACTTTTGACAATAATGTTTGGCTGCAAATCTTCTTCCGTCAGGACAGGGTCATAACCATACAGGGCTTGCCTATTAAAGCAACACCCAGTTCCCACATAAACTGGGCCCTGAAGGCCATCTAACCCTTTCAAATTCATCTGGAGGGAGTAATATTCAGCATTAGTAATTTACAACCACATAAAAAGTATACTTTTACCTATAATTTGGGGTTAATTACAAAAACTACCTGGCCTAGATAAAAGAACAGTTATTTTCTAGAATTACAAATCTAAAATCCACTTGTAATCGTTTACAAAATAAGTGGAGATTTTCATAATAAGGCTAAACGTTAGGGCAGTTCATTGAAATAGCTCTATTCTAGAGGTGTAAACCATAGAGGCACCTACATCAAAGAAGACAATGTTGCGGTTAGCGTATCTATCATGTAAATCGATGCCATCAAATCGCTGTGGGAACTGCACGTAGCAAGTCTTTTTCCCAAGAACAGGATCCATCATAAAGCACATGGCTTCTTTAAGAGCTTTGCTGTTGTTGAAGTAGTGGTCACAATCGACATTCAAAAGATATGCTCCATTGGTGAGGACAGCAGAGACTCGGATCTGAAGCACAAAAGGGAATACATTACATGATAGAAATTCATCGATTTCAATAAAGAAAATGATAAAATACTGGTGAAATATGCAGTGAATCCCGAAATGCTATGTTCAAGCCCTTTGTATGATTTTAAGGCCCGACTCACACTTTGAAATGCTTTACATGAAGATTTAGTTTAACTAATAGAGTAAAACAATTTAGCTTACATTTCAATGCTCGTCATTAACCTATGAAGAAGAAAAATTATATGCATGTCTAAGTGAGTTAATGATAAAGAATATAATTACTGAATTACAAATTTCCTCACTTGTTCCAAGTTAATATACCATTTTTTTGCTATTAAATATGTTCACATAGATATTAAAGATGGTCATGGCCATTGGATCATCAATTCCGTACCAAAGCATTCATAGCACCCGCTTTCTTGTGATGTTGGAATCCAGGACGCTTTTCACGAGAAACATAAACCAGTCGAGGTAACTCATTTCCATCGGTGTCAAGGCCACCACTGTGCCCCAGAAAAACCTGTTTATAGTGAAGCATATTAAAGAATTGGGAAAGGAATTAACAGAGAAGAAATAATTATGAATTCTAAAACACATACCTGAATCATTCCTGGATGGTCCCGGGTATTATTTCCAGGCCAAGGAGTACCATCTTGCATCGTCCATCCTTCTTCAGGCATTTTTTGAGCTTTCGCAACAAGAGCATTGATTCTTACCTTAAATTCTTCATATTCTCTCTGCAGAAGTAAAGAAATAAAGTTACACCATATGTGTCTTTTGTTTCCTTCTCTAACTAGATGAACCAACCAAAATTAATAAGAAACAAATTTGGAAACAAAATAACCATAAATAAAAATGCATTCTTCTTTTGATAATAAGAAGCTCAAGGGGTTTCTCGTACGAAAAATGAACACTAACACCGTGAAATTAAAGATTAACACCAATAATTTCGCAAGCACCTTCATCGCTCTGCGCTCTTTCACAAAGGAAGGCTGAATCTTGTCCTTCAGGTAATCTATTTTCTGAGCAAAATAGAACTCAGGGGCCCTCGGCTCAATATTGTGCTTCTTGCAAAAGGGAACCCACTTCCTGGCAAACTCTGCAGTTTCAGACATGGCCTCAAAGGTCAGCATTGCCGAACCATCATCCGATACATAACAAGAGACTTTGTCCACAGGGTAATCCACAGAAAGGATGGACAACACAGTATTTGCAGTGACAAGAGGAGGCTCTTTCAGGGGGTCCACTGTACTCACAAACACATCGACCGGCGCTAACTGAGACGGCTCACCCTCTCTATCATATCTAAAACATATAAGAGACAGAAGTTAGTTCAGAA